TAAAAGTTTTTTTCGATTAGACAAACTAAAAAAAAAAAAATTCAAATCATTTTCATATCCTTCATATTATTATTATTATTATTATTATTATTATTATTATTATTATTATTATTATTATTATTATTATTATTATTATTATTTCTTCATTCTCAAAGTAATTATTGACTATATTTCTATTGAATCTCCCCTTTGTTTTAGAAAAAAAAATTTTTATTCTCAAGTTTTTTTTTATGTAAAAATGGTTTTTATCATAACAAATAGAGAAAAAAATGTCGATAAAATATTTTCCTTCATTTGTGTTTCTTCGATATGCAAAAAAAAATAAATTATTTTTTGTTGCATTCGAATTGGATTGTCGAGTTAAACTAATTATAATTAATTTAAAATTTTTAAATGCAATAAATAAATAAAATAAATTTATTAATACACACACACACACACACATGAATGCATGCACAAACATTCTTTTTTTAAATAATTAATTAATTATTATTTTTTTGTTTCGATGAGATGAAAAAAAAAAACTTTTTAATTAATTTTTAAGTGTCATTTAAACAAACAAAAAAAAACAAACTTTTTATTAAATTTTTATAAATAAATAAATTTTTTTTCCCCTGAATGATAATAATAATATGGAATAAAATAATAATAATAATAATAATAATTAAAACAATTTTTCTTAAAAAAATGAAATATCGAAAAGGAACAAATAGTAAGAAAGAAAAAAGAAGTACAAAAAATTCACTTTTCGATATGAATCAGTTTAAATATAAAAAAAATTTTGATTAATAAATAAAAAAAAAACAAAAGAGAAAGAAAATGAAAAATGAAAAAAATGAAAAACAAATGAAATAATAATAATAACTAAATTGTTTAAATAAAAAAAAAAAATTTGTTTTTTAATTACATTTTTCATTAATTTTGTTTTTTTTTTATTTAAAACTTTTGTGTTTGTGAATTATTTAAAATGATGTTTTTATTAATTATTATTATTATTATTATTAA